AGCGAATATTGTATAACACAATGTCTAAAAGGTAGTAGCACTGAATATATTGGCATGTAGGGTGTAGCCAAGTGCTAGAGATAATATTACAATTTTATAAAAAAAAAAACACTTACATAAACTTTGACCGAGGTTTTTCGAAGGGCGAGCGCTTCATCGTCAGGGTCACAAAGTATATGTCTCAGGCAAATAGTAAAATCAGGCATTTTGTCAAATGCCTAGGCAAATAATCAAATAAATTAACTTAGATTGAAAGGAGGGGTATCGTTAAGGGCCTTTTTTGGGCCCACCCTGAAATTCCTCAACTGCGCGACTTTTTGGTCATTGAAGGTCTATATTTTACGGAATGCATAATGATTTGGTCATTTTCGATCTATCTCGGGGTCTACCACTGGCATGATCCGAAAAAAATGGCGCAAAACCACCTAAACGCAAATTGTTTTCGATTTTTTCGAATAACATGTGGCAACGCTGAGCCACAGCGGGAGATAAATACATAAAAAATACATAAATAGATAAAACATGCATAAAATCCCTACTAATGTGGCCACTGCGTGTGAAAAATAAAGGTTTCTGAACTTGCGGAATGTTCTTGACGAAGAACAGCCTCCGAATTCTGAAATACTAGGTTTTCCTTGAATTCAGGCAATGAAATATGGCAACACCGGCTTTTTTGGGGGGCATTGAATCCAAAAAAGTTTTTTGAGGAAGGTTTTGACCACCCACGTCCATTTATTGTCAAAAAAATTAAACTCTGGCGTTAGATGAGTCGCTTTTTTAAGCCGTTTTAAATAACGATGAAAAATAGGAAAATTCTAAAAAGTTTTTTTTAACAATGAGCGCAAAGTTTGACATCAACGAAAATTGGCCAAAGTGACTCTCTTACGTCCCTAATGAACATACTTGAAGGAATTTTTTGTTCTCCGAAGGGATCGGTATGAAACAGCGCTTTGAATGCCGAAAAACCCGCATTTTTTGCAGAAATTGGCCTTCAGACCCATGTTTAGGCCAGTGATAGACCCCGAAATAGATCGAAAATGACCAAACCATTATGCATTCCGTAAAATATAGACCTTCAATGACCAAAAAATCGCGGAGTTGCTGAGGAATTTCAGGGTGGGCCCAAAAAAAGCCCTTAACGATACCCCTCCTTTACTGCAAAAGCGTTGAATTTTTAGAAAATTTATGCGACCGCGTTGAATTTTTAGAAAATTTCTGCGAACGCGCAAAGTCAATGCGTAGGCCGAATCCCAAACCTGCTTACAGGGGTGCCACTGTCAGGGAAATGTCAGGGAATTTTAAAAAGTCTGGGAAAACCGGTAATTGTCAGGGCAAGTTTGTTAAATCGTCTGCATTTGCGGTATAGAATGGGTTTGAGGTTTTGAACAATAAATGTTGCTTGAAAACTCTTTTCAATTGTGCCTTCTTAACCATCCGTTACATCTTCATTTGTCAGGGATATCAATGAATCGATTTTCATTTTCTGAAGTCTGTGGCAACCCTGTAGCCTAGGCCGAAGAACGTTCTGCACCTTTGAATGGAGATGTTGCATGTGTGAGGAATTTGCGATTTGACCGTCGAAACTGACGTAAAAGTTCGCGAGAAACACGATGGTGCCACTGGTTTTCTCTGAAAGCAACTCCCAAGCTCAAAAAAAGCTCTCAAGTCGAGGCCAAAATGGAGGGGATATCCCACGCTATCCTGAGAGTCCATCTCTACATGGAGACAAACTCTCCATCTCCATGCAAAGATAGGGAGCAAATACATTGACAGGGCTGCCACTTTATTTGGGGACTCCAAAGCTGAAAACACGGCAACCCTGTCAATGCATTTGCTCCCTATCTTTGCACGGAGATTTTGTTTTGATGTAGATGTGGACTCTCAGGATAGCGTGGGATATCCCCGGCCATTTTGGCCTCAACTTGAGAACTTATTTTGAGCTTGGGAGTTGATTTCAGAGAAAACCATTGGAACCTTCGTGTTTCTCGCGAACTTTTACGTAAGAATCAACAGTCAAATCGCAAATTCCTCACACACGCAACATCTCCATTGGAGTTTGTATTTTTTTTTTTTTTTTTTTTTTTTTTTTTTTTTTTTTTTACCGAAGATCTACTAAATATGATCATTTTTGAATTTAATTTTTTAATCCCAACGCGGGGAAAATAAGATACGGTGGTGCTACTCATGCTAGTACCTCAGTCAACATAAGCAGCGCATTCAATGACGTTGTCGCACTCCTTGGACACGCGTGTGGTATATGAAAAAATGGAAGGCGCTCACGAAAGAGTGCAAAGAGCAGCGTGTGGCCTGCCGGTACGGAAACGTGACAAGATGATATTTTGCGGTGAAAATTAAGAACAAAGGACAGGAAACTATATTTTTGCACCATTTTTAAATATCGGGACATCGTATCCCTCCGCAACACCGCGAGTCATGACAGCAGCGTAGCCCTGCCTCATGGGCTAGAAAGACCGAAGCGCCTTCAATTTTTAGCATGCAACACGGATGTCCATAGAGCACGAATAGTTGCTTCAAGGCCTTATTACCGATCCGATTGTCCTCTGCTCAGAACGTCACCTTACGGTCAAAGTATAACAAGCGCCATTTCATTTCAAAATTTCCGCCGCCATTTTATTTTCTTACGGAGAAATTGTTCAACGACGCTGTCCAAAAATTTCACTGAATTTTCTTAGTACCGATAAAATGCAGTGAAATCTCAAACAGATTAAACCAAGAATTTTTCCGTAAAAAAATAAAACGGCGGCGGAAATTTTGAAAGTCGCATGGCGCTTGTGATACTTGAGCCGGAAGGTGACGAGGTATCAATACTAAAGTGTTAGGAAAGCGTGACGAATCTTGAATGGAATGTGAACTTGATTACTCGAAATTATTTCTCGGTATTTTGCGCTTTGCGTAGTCGACTTATTTTACCTTTCTCACAACTCCGACTTTTCTTGACTTTGTTCCAGATAGTCGATGAATGAGAAACCGTCAAAGCGCACTACCGCAGTCTCCGAGCTTTCCGCTGAAATCATCTAGCTAATCAAGCGTCAATTAGAAGGTGTATTGTAAACGCCACCTAGAGTTAGGAGGAGCTGAAAAAATGTTGTCTAAGTTTCTGCTCATGCTCGCACCTTAGACGTCATTGACTTGTTTCCTTCTCTCTGGAAGTTTGTTTCGTTACATTTAAGCTTTTGAAAAAGTGAAATGCTCGATTTGATTTCCCGGACCACCGAAGCAACAGAGTTATTTCTCTCTTTTTGGTAAGGAAACATCGCCTCGTCTCTAGTAAATCTGCTATCCTCCCATTGCTTTAATTCATTCACAGCAAATACGAACACCGCCAGTATTAAAATTCATCGTTTTACCGTCTGTACCCACTTCAATTGAATAATTCCTCTTCCCAAAATTAATCTGGAAATCCCTACATTTACGCTGCATCAACTTCAGCTTTCCCCGACTCCACAATCGAGCTATGCCTGCCAAAAGCATCTACCACTCGCCTTTGGGTCCGATCCTACTGGAGGCAGACGACAAGGGCCTGACGCGGCTGGTTTTCCAGCAATCTTCGAAGAGGAGCGGGCACAACGGGGAACGTGAAGACGGAGAACCTAAGCGCGAAGAGAACAAGTTCTTGGTGGAGGCAAAGCGCGAAGAGGAGAAGCTCCTGATGGAAGCAAAGCGCGAAGAGGAGAAGTTCCTGATGGAAGCAAAGGGCGAAGAGGAGAAGTTCCGGATGGAAGCAAAGCGTGAAGAGGAGAAGTTCCGGATGGAAGCAAAGCGTGAAGAGGAGAAGTTCCGGATGGAAGCAAAGCGTGAAGAGGAGAAGTTCCGGATGGAAGCAAAGCGCGAGGAGGAGAAGTTCCGGATGGAAGCAAAGCGTGAAGAGGAGAAGTTCCGGATGGAAGCAAAGCGTGAAGAGGAGGAGTTCCGGATGGAAGCAAAGCGCGAAGAGGAGAAGTTCCGGATGGAAGCAAAGCGCGAAGAGAACAAGTTCCTGACGGAAGCAAAGCGGGAGCTGAGCGAATACTTCGCGGGAGAGCGGCGCGTGTTCGAAGTGCCGCTGCACGTGCCTCGAGGCACCGAGTTCCAACGGCGGGTCTGGAGGGCCCTGCGGACGATGCCGTACGGGCGGACGTGCTCGTACCAGGAGCTGGCCGAGCGGGTGGAGTCGCCGCGGGCCGTGCGGGCGGTGGCCCAGGCGAACAAGGCCAACCCCATCGCCGTCATCGTGCCCTGCCACCGGGTCATCGGCAAGAGCGGGAAGCTCACCGGGTACATGGGCGCCGCCGCGGAGGGCCTCGCGCTCAAGAAGGCGCTCCTCGAGCTGGAGCACGGAGCCCGGACGTCGGAGAAGTAGGGAGCACCGCGCCCGCCCCCGGGAGAACCCAGTTCCTAACTTGGCGCAGTCGGAGAAAATCCGGAAGCGAAGCATTTGATTAGTTAGCAATGGACCACTAGACAAGGTACGAATTTCAGCATTCTGATACTTGTTTCTTCACCACAATTCCACGTAAAACACGATGCGCACAACGAAAATTACCGAAATCAACTCCTTCCGAAGATATATGATGATTCTTGGTGCTTGAATTGAAACCACCCGCTCATGAAAACTCAATGGTCTACGTGATTCACATCGTGCGCTAAACGTTATCATGAACGTCTCTGCGATAAAAAAATCTGGCAACCTCGATCTTGACGCTTTGGCTCAGCTATAGCAAATTACTTATAGTTTGAAAAACACATGGTGTGAAATGAACATTGCTCGATTGAGAAGCTTGCTGTAACCGTTGTAGTGCGCGATTTGACTCACGTAGAGCTTTGAGTTTCTTGTGAGCGGGCAGTTCAAATTCCTTGTAACCAATGTGAAATAAAAAGGTTCATATCTCCGTTAGGAGTTGGTTTCAGTAATTTCCGTTGCGCGAATCGTGTTTCACGCGAAATTCTGGTCAAGAAACATGTATCAGAATGCTTAAATTTGTACCATTGTCTAGTGGTCCATTGATCGGAGTCTTTGATACTCGACATTGCTGCCGTGCTCAGGAAGAACGCCGTATGAGCCTCCGTGCGATGCCAAATTTCTTTTGATAAAATAAGAAAGTTCAGGAAAACTCATGAAAATTTTCCTCCGGATATTTCAGAAAGTTCTCTTCGCGATGTGATCTAAATTATAAGAAAATTTCAGATAGAAATATTCATTATTTGTGTAAAAAATTAACATTTGAAGAGGGGAAACTTGGCGACCCTCAGATGTTCATACGGCGTTTTTCATTAGCACGGCAGAATGAGTCAGTTGCGCTGGTCACAGAATCGTGTTTTGCTGCTCGGCAGGGTTGCCACAGTCAGGGAAAGCTGGAAAATGTCAGGGAATTTTCAAAAGTTAGGGAATTCCTGGAACTGTCAGGGAAAATGACAAAAATGTCAGGGAAAAATTTTCAAGTCACTTTTATTTCCTTTCTAGAATGGGTTTGGTGTTTCGAACGACAAAACTTGCCTGAAAACTATTTCAAATCATGCCTTTTTAAGCATCTGGCATTTCCTCAATTGTCAGAGAATTTTACCAAAATGTGACGAAGGTCAGGGAAATGTCAGGGAATTTCATTTTCTAAATTATGTGGTAACCCTGGCTTGGTTCTTGTAGACTTCCTAATAATAATAAGATCTTTCCAAACGGCAACTCTCAACGTTAAATATGAACCGAGATATCATCCGTTGGAAAGTCGAGTTTTTGACGTCATCCACCGCGGTGCCCGCACCCTCGGTTTTTTCCACCTTGCTCTCATTCGAGGTTCACGTTGAGCAACCAGTGCACGCATTTTCCACGTCGAGTATAACAAGTGATTTTGTGTGTCTTCCTGACAAATGAAAGCAAGGTGGAAAAATCCAAGGGTGTCACTTGTCACTACGGCGGTGACGTCAAAAACATGACTTCCCAAATGGGCGATATCTCGGTTAATATTGAACGCAGAAAGTTGCTGTTTGGAAAGATCTTATTAATTTTAGCTGATCCACAAGAATCAAACATCAAAACACGATTCTGTGACCAGCGCAAGTGACCCATTCATCAAGACATTAATAATTGGACCGCGTCATGCAGAAAGGAACCAAGCCACATCATTAACCAGCCAAATTTAAACTGGTAATTTAATGTTTTACATGAAAACGATTGTGCGGATTTTTGTGTGAATTTCAGTGAGTTTTCTGCATCGTACGAAGCGAATTCTTTAAAATTTTCAACGGATTCCGCCTACACGTTCTCCTGTAAAAAATGAAATTGCCAAGTTAAATTTGGCAATAGCATGTGTGGCTTGGTTCTTTTCTGCCGAATGCGGTTCAATTAAATCGGGGCGAAATTAAGGAGGCTTTCATCCTCGCACACACCTATACTTTGCCACACATTTGCATGTGCATGAAATTGCAACACTGTAAAAAAATATGAAGGGGATGATAAGTGTCACACACCAGTCGTCATTTTTCAAATCAAGCCATCGTCATTTTCTTTGTCAATGTTATCAGGGTCGGTTGTTTTTTTGAAGCTGAGCATATATGTTTTTCTTCCCCTGTCTCTCGCAAGAATTGCAAAGATGATATTTACTTGTAGGTGTTGTAAGCTTGCGTCATGCAGGTGATATTTTCTTCCAGTACAGCCTGATGTTTTACCTTTTCTTAGAATAGTCTCCCTTTAAAACGGACTTGATTTTGAGAGAAACCATACTCGAATCATCTGAAATGGTTTTCAAGTTTAATACTCATTAGAGTTCGAATTTTTGAATCTGATGATTCTTTTTGGAACTTTTTGGCCAATGAGAGTGAACCCAGTATTAATCTATCATCCTCTTACTTACAAATCGGGCCACATTTTTAGATGTTTTTCTTTTCTTGTCTAATGCATTAAGGTGATTCGACGATTGCCATTTTTTGTGTCAGAGCGACGTGCGATTTATCGCACCAATTCGTTCCATAATTTCAGCCACTTGTCATTTTTTTCGAATTCTGAGATCGCACCCCTGTTGTTATGAGACTGAAGAATTCATGTACCAAATTTGACAAAGAAACTCAACGTAGGCAGGGTATTTTAGAGGAATAATATCACATTCGATACTGATATCGAAACTGCACTCGAATGCGATATTTTTCCTCTAAAAAAACCCTCCCTTTATTACGCTGACTTTCTTTGTTAAATTTGGTACGTGAATTCTAAAGTCTCATGACAACAGAAGTGCGATCTCAAAATTCGAAAAACATGACAAGTAGCTGAAATTATGGAACGAATTGATGCGATATATCGCACGTCGCTCAGACACAAAAAATGTAATGGCAACCGTCGAATCACCAGAATGAGAATACTTTAAAGAAGGTATATTTTCTGAGTGACAACCCGTGCCTTTCTTGAGAACGCCAAGTGTAAATGAACGTATTTGTGCTAAAAGAAACAATGTGCATAAGGTTTACCAGTGGCGTGGCGTGAATTGCGATATATCGATTGATATTTAACTTAAACCTATGGTAAAGAATCGATTATTGAGGTGTTCGCTGCGAACACCCTGTGTATCGATCCTTTTCCATAGTTTTAAATGGCAGATCATTCGATATATCGCAAAGCACGCCACGCTACTGAGGTTTACGTGTTACTGTAACATAGTTCCTTTTAGCGTAAATACGCCCAAATGGTTGTCTGACACAGTGGCGTGGCGTGCTTTGCGATCCATCGATATTTCCCCATTTGAAGCTGTGGTAAATAATCGATTATTAAGGTGTTCTCCTGTTTATCGATACTTTTCCATAGGATTAAGTGGCCGATCAATCGATATATCGCAAAGCACGCCACGCCACTGGTCTAACAGTTGGAAGGTTGGCTGGCGGCAGTTCTGCGTAGTGTCGCGCAGCTGTTTTTTTTTAGGACTCTCTCCCTTGCTTTGCGTGAACCAATGAAAAAAAAAAAA